GTCCATGCCAGGAGTTGAATGTGAGCTGAAAGGTCCCGAGGTCACTGTGAGTGCTCCTAAAGTCGACGTGGGTGCCCCCGACGTCGCTCTCGACAGCCCAGAGGGTAAATTCAAGCTGCCCAAGTTCAAGATGCCCAAGTTCTCCATGCCTGGCTTCAAAGGGGAGGGTGTGGACGTGGACGTGAACCTCCCAAAGGCAGACGTGGACCTCTCGGGCCCCGGCGTCGATGTGGAAGCTCCCGATCTCCACGTGGATGGAAAAGTGAAAAGTCCCAAATTTACGATGCCTGAGATGCACCTAAAGGGTCCCAAGATCTCCCTCCCTGACGTCGACTTCAACATCAAGGGGCCTCAGCTGAAGGGGGATGTAGATGTGTCTGGACCTAGGCTGGAGGGAGATTTGAAAGCCCCCCAACTGGACATCGAGGCTCCCGACGTGACCCTGGAAGGGCCGGAAGGAAAACTCAAAGGCCCCAAGTTCAAGATGCCCGAGATGCACATCAAGGCCCCCAAGTTCTCCATGCCTGACGTGGACTTCAACCTGAAGGGCCCCAAAATCAAGGGGGACGTGGACGTCTCGGCTCCGAAGCTGGAAGGGGAGCTTCAGTGTCCAGATGTTGACATCAAAGGCCCCAAGCTGGACCTTCAGGCCCCAGATGTGACCATCGAAGGGCCGGAGGGGAAACTGAAAGGGCCCAAGCTGAAGATGCCCGAGGTGCACGTCAAGACCCCCCAGATCTCCATGCCGGACATCGACTTGAACCTGAAGGGCTTGAAGCTGAAAGGTGACGCCGACCTCCAGGGCCCGAAGCTCGAGGGGGGGCTGAAGGGCCCCGACTTGGATGTCAAAGGCCCCAGAGTTGACATCGAGGGCCCAGAGGTGGATGTCGATGGTCTGGAGGGCAAAATGAAGCTGCCCAAGATGAAGCTGCCCAAGTTTGGCCTCAAGGGAGAAGGTCCCGAGGTGGACGTGAACCTGCCGAAGGGGGAGGTGGATCTCTCAGGTCCCAGGGTGGACGTCGGGGTTCCAGACGTGAACATCGAGGGTCCTGAGGGCAAACTGAAAGGTCCTAAGCTGAAGATGCCCGAAATGCACGTCAACGTCCCCAAAATCTCGATGCCCGAGATAGACTTGAACTTGAAAGGCCACAAAACCAAGGGGGGCTTCGACCTCTCGGCCCCCAAGGTGGAAGGGAACCTGAAAGGTCCTGAGGTCGAGCTCAGAGGCCCAGAGTTTGGAGTCAAAAGCCCCGAGGTCCACCTCGAATGTCCCGACCTGAGCGTCGAAGGCCCGGAGGCCAACGTCAAGCTGCCCAAGATGAAGAAGCCCAAATTTGGGTTCGGGATGAAAAGCCCCAAGGCCGAAATCAAAGTCCCAGGGGCGGAGGTGGATCTACCCGAGGCGGAGCTGAACGTGGAGTCGCCCGACGCCAACCTCGCAGGAAAGGGTAAGAAAAGCAAGTTCAAGATGCCCAAAATCCACATGAGCGGCCCCAAAGTGAAAGGCAAGAAAGGAGGGTTCGACGTCAGCGGGGACCTCGAGGCCAACGTGAAGTCTCCAGACCTGGACGTGAACGTCGCCGGTCCGGACGTGACGCTGAAAGGTGACGCCACGGTGAAGTCCCCCAAGGGGAAGAAGCCCATGTTTGGGAAAATCTCCTTCCCGGATGTCGAGTTCGACCTGAAATCCTTCCGGGGGGACGCCTCGGTGGCAGCCCCGAAGCTAGAAGGAGAACTTAAAGCTCCTGATCTAGAGGTCAAAGGCGACCTGAAAGGCCCAAGTCTCAACGTGGACGTGGAAGCTTCTGACGTGAGCCTGAAGACACCCAAGGTCAAACTTCCCAGCGGGCAGTTGGGTGGAGGGGACTTGAAAATGGAGGTTGACCTGCAAGGAGCCGACGTCGGCGTGAAAGGACCAAAAGTCAAAGGTGGCGTCGGCCTCCCCGGAGCAGAACTGGAAGGTCCCGAAGGAAAAGTGAAGTTGCCCAAAATGGGGCAAACGGGTCTCGGGTTGGACGTGCCAAGCTTGGACCTCTCGGTGGGGGGAGGTGGGAACCTCCCATCGCCCGACCTCGGCCTCCGAGGGGTCGACGTGAAGCTCCAAGGGCCTGGTTTGGGTGGGAGCCTGAAAGGACCAAACGTGGCGGGAGATCTGGACGTCTCGTGTCCCGCGGGAGGACCCGACCTCCGCCTGGAGGGGCCGAGCGTCGACCTCGGAGGCCTGGGAGGGAACCTGAAGCTCCCCAAGCTGAAATCCCCCACGCTGGAAGCCCCAGAGCTGAGCCTGGAAGGAGGCGCCGACTGCTCCGTCCCCCGGGTGGAGGTGGGGGCGAAAGCCCCGGGGGGGAACCTCGACCTGGGCGTCGCCATCAAAGGCCCCTCGGTGGCCGTCTCCACCCCGGATTTGGATCTGGACCTGAAAGGACCAAAGTTGAAAGGAGATCTTGACGCTTCTGCCGGCGTAAAACCCCCTCAGCCGTCGGCCGACGGGGCCGGCTTGGAAATTTTGGGTGGTACCATCAAGCTCCCCTCCCTCAAACTGCCCCAGTTCAGCGTTTCCAGCCCCGGGGGGGACGGAGCCGTCGCCTTGGAAGGTCCCCAGGTCACCCTGCAGGGCTC